CAGCAGCAAGTAGGGGAACACAGAGGGGAATGCTCATCTGCAGGTCAAGACTTCACATGATACACACAGAGGAGCCACTTGTCTCTTGGCAAAGCAGTCTTCATGATATGCTTGGAAAACCCTTCAGACCTCTCCCTGCCAGGTGCCCTTTGCCTGTGTTACTGCTGGTGAGGTACCTCCTTTGAGCTATTTGTAAATGGGTTTAGCCATAGGCAGCTGTCCTGCCTTCTGTCACTGTATGTATGCTTTGCCTACCTCTGCACCTGACTGTGGCTGCAGAGCTGGGTTTTGGTGATTTTGTCTATCTCTGCTCTTTTGATCAGCTGTGTTTACAATGTGAAGCGTGACAGATGTTAATTATGCAGAAGAGGTTGTTTCCACTAAGCTCAGGTTTTAGTTACTGATTCAGCCTGTTCTCTGGTTCTGACACAGCTTTCATTGCACAGCAATGATGCACTGACCTGAAGTCTTGGAGTATTTATGTCATGCTTCTTGACACCAGAAGCTGGTGACTCATCACTGTGCTGATGACCACAGCTTGACTGGTCTGAACTGCATGCAGGTACCTGGGAAATCCTGAAGGGTTAGTGGAGGGTTATCTCTCTCCATCTGCTGTTACTTTTTTTGCTGTTATTCATACAAAACCAGGCAAGAGTCATGGGTGTATGTGACTGTACCCACAACAGCAAGGAGGAGAGTCCTGGCTGCTTTCTGGTGACAGTTCAGTCAGCACAACCTTCAGAATTTGGTGCGTGGGCCATGAAGCACTGGCACAGGAAGGCAGTGCCTGCCCCTGCTTCTAGAAAGGACTCTTCTTGTAAAAAGGAATTAAGCATAACTCAAGGTGTATCTGGGAGATGACTCCAGTTATTACAACCAACTGGGATGCAGCAAGATTTTTCTCATACAAGCTGGAGCACATCTTTTCTTGTAAAAGGTGGATACTGCTAGAGACAATGTATAATCTGGTCTGGAGGCTTTTCAGAGCTGGTGAGCAGCCACCAGAATTAGTCTTTCACATCATCAAGAGTAGAATATATGAAACATAAAATAAGTTTCTTATTGGCAGGTGTGTTAATGTTCTTTGGGTGTTATGGAAAGTGATGAAGGGAGAAGTGGAGAAGCAGAGCAACCAATGTTTCAAAATACTGCACATAACCCTCAAAAAAATCTGAAACCAAATCTCATCTGTTTGTCCCCATTGAATGTACGTGACCTGCTGACTTTCTGTGCTGGTGACAGTAAGCCAAATAAGCAGATGATGGCAGTAATACAAACCTCACATTAACAAAACAAGAACAAGGAAAATGAGTCCTTTGAACTCCATGAGATAACACAAGTGATATCTTGTCTCAGGGATCTACTTGGTGATGAAATTAGTATCGTTTGTGAATCAGACCCTGTGCTGGCTTAAATATTTGTTTATCCTTGGAGGTGTGTTCAATACCATGTTTTCTCTATAAATTATCAAACAGGTCTCTGGATTGTCAGTAAATAGGTGTGAATTTTGCCTTAGAGCAAACAATGAAAGCAATTATTAGGAAAGTACATTTGTGCCCACAGGTTTTGTCTTGCCCCAAACCTTGTCCTGTTTACTATCTGAACACTGATGGACAACCCAAGCCCTTTGGCCAGAGGCCCAACTCCCCACCCTGGTGCCTTGGCTGGCCACCAGAAAGCAGCATAGGCTATCAAACCCAGCAAACCGCAGAGGCAGGAGAAAGTGGAAGCCCTGGAACAGGAGTTCATTTGTGTTTCTGAACAGCTCTAGTTTGTAATCGCCTTGGGACAACCTTGCCTTGTTAAGAGGTGAGTAATATTACAGAAGAGTTGGTGCCAGCTGTCATATTAAAAAGGTAATTGTGCAATGATGTACATTAAGAAGAGGAAATAGGTGTTTGAGGAGGCAGCGGTTGAGTTTAGATTTTTGCAGAAGTCCGGCTCACTGAGCGTGGGCTCACAGGAGAAATACTCCTTTAGTCTTGTCTTTTGTCTGTCCTTCACGATATTCTCAAAGTCCTAAACACAATCCATGGACCTGCTACCAGCATCGCGTCTCTCCTGATCTTGCCTGGGCATTCTGCCCAGTCTCTCCCCTGATTATGCCAGCCCCACTGCCCCCTCCTGCCTTGGCCTGCGGGTTTTCTAGTCCTTAGGCTCTTGCTTCCTGGTGTGTTGAGGCCCAGCACATGGGGTGCTGCCAGGATATGTTATGCCCTGGGATGCTGAGCAGCTGCCAGTTAGTGAGCTCACTGCTTGGCACCTTGATGGGGGGACATGCCTTCAGCCTCTGCTCTGCTTGCCCAGGTGGCTAGCCCTTTACAGCCTTCCTTATCAGCTTAGAGAACTGAGCAAATAAGCTGTCGGATCCTCCCTGGCTTTAGGGCACACAAGGCTGCAAATGGCAAATGATAAATCCTTCTGCATCTCTCTTGCCACTGTCCCTTTCTGGCCTGGTACCAATACCCCTTCTCCCAACATTACTCAATATGCTTTACTTGGTGGACTACCACATAGCTGGAAGTAAGCATCCCTGATGCTTGTCCAGATCCCGTGGAGAACAGTAACCCTCAGCCCAGAGAACAGCTCTACTGGTTGAAGTTTATGCATGTTGCTGAGAAAAGTCAAACTTTCCTGACTAGTTACTGCAGGAGACTGTTGGATTTTGTATCACATTTTTCCATTTTGATACTTGAATATGGAAACTAAATTCCTGTTCTTTCTGCTGCCTGAGCTGGACAGCATTAGCTTTACAGCAGTGGGATCGACTGCACTTTGCCAAGCACACTCCAGCTTTCTTCTTCTCTCTGGTTAGTGAAACAGACAGGCAATAGCTGTGACTCATGCTGGCTGATGAAATATAAGTGGTGTCTAAAAACCACAGGCTCATTATCCATCATTATTTGTAACCATCTGTGGTAGAAAATGAGATGACTTTTAAGGGACATGAATGGGGTTTAAATAAAATGTTTCCTATTGTCTGTTCTTGTACCCATGCAAAGAGAAGGAGTCCCCATCCCATTCTGCTCTGCACTGCCTTCAGTAGTTTCTTCTTGGCTGGAAAGCAAGAGCCCCCAGCTCTAATGGGTGCAGTGAGGCCACCTCCTTCTTCAAGGTTGACTGTGGCTCTTACATCAGCTTTGTCACCTATTCCTCGCTTTACATGAGTGGGGAGGTAGGAAAGAGGAGAGAAAGGAAGGAATACACCTCTATGGCCACCTCTGTAGTTTACGCATTATCGTGTGTTAAACAGAAGACTCAGCAGCAGTGAGATTGCTTTAAAATTGTGGAGGAGTCAGTAATCCCCAGTTGAAGACTGTGTTCTGTGAAATGTGTCTCATGAAAAGCCCTGTGAGGGACAGACAATGAGGTCCTGTTTCAGTGACAGTAACTGGTGTAACGCACTGTCCGTCCGGAGTTAGGGACTGTCTCCAGAAACTGCCCGGTTTAGCCTTGCACTTGACATCTCCAGCTGTAACGAGCTTTGAGGTGTGACCTAAAACCTCAGTGCACTGACCTCATTGAACAGAGCTCTAAGATGTGATTTTAGCACCATCTACAAGCTCCTACAAGGCCTTAGCAGCCCCAATTACAAAAAATAACATTTCTTATATCAAAGAGACCTTTTAACCTTCTGAAGGGGTCACCAGATACAAACAGAAGCAGATGGTATGGAACCTTACTGGTGAGGATAGTCAGTCCCTCAAGCAATTTAACTCAGGAACTTAATTGTTTCAGCCTTTATTTCAAGACAAATGCATGTACTTATCTATTCGTAGGTCAGTCTAGTTCAGCCTGAAAGTGCAGAGGAATCGGTGTGTGAAATGCCCTCTCCTATTCTAAACTAGAAAGGGTGCACCCTTCTGAGATACAAATCCATCTGTGTTCAGGCTTAATCTTTCTTGTTGTCCTGTGCACCCCTGTCCACACCACTGACAAGGCCTGCCCTGCCCATGTTAGCCCACATTGGGAAGCACCAGCCCTGCATTCCCTTGGAGAGAGCTGAAACTGAAGCCAAGCTGTAAAAAAATAAAGCATGTGAAAATTTCATGTAGTTTTCATACTGGTGAAAATGTCTGCTCAAACGCAGTGAATGTGTAATTCATCAGCCCCCGCCCCAATGGACACTGCAAGTTACAAAGGAAAATTTTATTAGCTTTTAGGAAGTGAAACAAATTCTCACTTCATCCAGGGAGCGTGACCATCCCCAGCTTGAGGGCAGAGTGCAGATGCTTTTGGTCTCGATGGCAGGCAGAGCAGCCAGAGAGAAGAGCCAAAAATGTCCCTTGCAGTTGGGAAGGAGCATCCTGCAGGTCAGCCCACAGCTTCTCAGTCCTGGAGATGAGAAAAAGCTGCTTCTCGGCACTGCATGAATAATTGTTTCAGCCACGGAGGTTTCCCCTGGGGCTGTGGCCTGACCCTGGGTAGGGAAGTTCATAAAATCTACCAACAGCATCATAAAGCATATGGAAAAGCTCACCAAGGCCTGAAAGATTTTCTTAGCTGCCTTTGGCACTTGAGTTTCAGGAGTGCTCAGCCAGGATGAGGTTGGCCAGGGAGACATGGTGAGCGACAGCACTGTGCCCACGTGGCAACAAAGCTCCAGTGCATTGGGAGCATCTGCAAAGAGGCCCTTAGTGCTGACAACATGAAGTCTGAACCCTTCCCAGTGTTTCTAAGAAATCTGAAGTAACATTCTTATGCCTATAGTATAAATACATAAATACTTTTAACAAAAGACTTTGCAACGCGTACAGCCAGCAGTGAGATGCTGAAATGTTGCTGGGAGTTCATTCGAGCCAGGTAGTCGACTTGCCCTTGAAATCTGCCCCACTCCAACCAAAAATACAACCATTGCTGGCTGTGCTTGGGTCACGTGCTGCCTGCAGCGCAGGCAGGGCAAGACTTCAGCAGCCACAAGCTGTAACAAAACGAGGGATGCGCGGACTTGTCTTCAGCAGCCACAAGCTGTAACAAAACGAGGGATGCGCAGCCCGGGGTCGCTGAGAGCAGTCTGACTGTAGCAGGAGCCAGGCAGGGAGCACATCGGTGCCCAGATGCAGTATGGAGGTTGTGCCTGTGGATCTCTCTGGTGCATGCCTGTACGACAAGGCCTGCTGTGAGGCTCAGAGGAGCCACCTGAGTCCTCCCAGAGGAAAGGATGCGCAGACCTGCAGGTTTTACTTGGTCCATTAGAGAGAACCCACCAAATCCACAGCCTTAATGTTTTTCCAAATTTTTTATCATTTTGGGGTTAAGCCAGTCTGTGTGTGTGTGCTTGGAGGAGATTCTCCTTCAACTTAACCACTCCAAGACCTGGTGTCAAGATGTAAGTGTCCCACCAGCTACTCCCTTGGCTCAGGCTTCAACAGTCTGTAGATAGCTGGAACATCCAGTGGGCCTCTGCTCTTAAAAGTTGCTCCTAAAAACATCATAGTTTCTGCAGGACCTGTGTTTCTGATGTCCAGTGCAGTCCTGTTAGGTCATTTCAAAATACCACCTTCCTTTCATGGCCTTTACCTGTCAGAGAGCATTTATCTGGATCACTGCAAAGGAAGTCCCTTGCCGCCTCTTCCATGTTTCCTGCCTTGCGAGGTAAAGGGCTGTTGAGCAGATCTGTTCTCCTCCTTCTCCAAATGGCTTCAAGACACTTGAGGTATCTTCCTGATTTACCAGAATTTTATTTTAGCAAATATACAGCACATTCGTACTATATACAGATATATATATATCAAGTAAACAGAGAAACCCAGGATTTCTCTGAATATGAGCTAAGCTTAGGTGACTTTCTTTGGCTTTCATTTCTGTTCTCTTCAAAGGCTCCATGCATCCCTTCCTCCAGTGTTAGAAAGATCCATGCCAGGTAGCAAAACAGCTGCACAGAGCTCCAAAGAGATGAACATGGCATGCACTATATAAAGCCTGTTTGCACTGTGATTTACCTGCACTCCTACTGGGGCTCTCCACCGCCCTAAGGAAGGAGGCTAGAGCAGTCTGCCTGTACAAGTACAGCCTGTGAGAACAAGCCTCCCACAGGGACATGGATTGGTAGGAAAGGCTATACCTTACACGTTACATTCCATACATCACGTTCTACAGCGAGCAATTGAAGGGACTTAGTAACACAAGGCTAAATGACAAATCCGAGATGTTGGCATTGGACCTGGTCCACAGGGTGATGTTATCTTGACCAAACAAGTAGAGCACCGTGGTTAGATTTACTGAGTTGCCACTGCCGTGGACAGTTTGCTCCCAGAGGTCGGTGCTGGTCTTGCTGTCTGTCTTCCTCAGTGTCAGCTTCAGTGAGTTCTCCAGGTCACGGAAAAAGATAAAGCCCTTCAAGGACACTAGGTAGAGGCCATCACAGGTGATCATGATGGAACCGTTTCTGATCTGAATAGAGCCTAGTTCAGCAGTGAGATTCATGGCTACTCCTTTGATGCTTTCACCTGGAATGGAAGAAAGCAAAGATGATCCCATGATGACAAATGTCTTCTTGGAAATGGGTTGTCTTATATAGACTGACTGCAGGAAATGTGGAAAAATATAGAAAAGGAAGAGTGAACTAGAGAGTAGGGAAGACCAGAGCTAGAATATAATCTACTCTGGACAGGCATCATCTACAGTGAAATACCTAGGTTCCTACTCCTAAGCAAGCTGTGCCTTTTGGACTACAACTCTACTTTATATGACTTATTCCAAGTTTCTATTTATGCACTTTTTATTTACAGTATGTTTTAATTAAAATACAGACATGTAAGTAAAGCACTTCTATGAGTTTAGGAAGCATATGTTCCTAAAAAGAACAGAAAACAAAGACAGTAAATAAGTGTTCAAAGCTGGAAGGAAGAGAAAAAGTGCTGTCTGTGAGATGCTGATAATATAAGTCCTTGTCTTGCAAATTTTTTTGTAACAGAAGACAGGCACTTTTTATTTACAGTATGTTTTAATTAAAATACAGACATGTAAGTAAAGCACTTCTATGAGTTTAGGAAGCATATGTTCCTAAAAAGAACAGAAAACAAAGACAGTAAATAAGTGTTCAAAGCTGGAAGGAAGAGAAAAAGTGCTGTCTGTGGAGATGCTGATAATATAAGTCCTTGTCTTTGGGTTTGGTCTTGCAAATTTTTTTGTAACAGAAGACAGGATAAAAGAGCAGCATAGAGACTGAAACGGAATAAAATAATACAGAGCAGAGTAAGGAGAAATTAAACATGAATTTAGCACGAAAGGGTTTCTCTTGAAACAAGCAGTAACAGTTCCCAGAGCCGTGCTGGAAATGTTTTCCTGCTGTGCTCCTGGGTTTCCAGCTCACCAGCTGAAATCCCTGGGACATCACCAGAAGGCTTCCTGGCAGGCTTGGCAGGTCTGTGGAGATGCTGATAATATAAGTCCTTGTCTTTGGGTTTCGTTTTGCTTTTTTTTTTATAACAGAAGACAGGATAAAAGAGCAGCATAGAGACTGAAACGGAAGAAACTAATACAGAGCAGATTAACGAGAAATTAAACGATAATTTAGCTCAAAAAGTTTTCTCTTGAAACAAGCAGTAACAGTTCCCACAGCCATGCTGGAAATGTTTTCCTGCTGTGCTCCTGGGTCACCAGCTGAAATCCCTGGGACATCACCAGAAGATCTCCTGGCAGACAACACAGCCCCTCTGGGGTAAGGCCAAATTTCTCAAGATTTTTCTCTAAAAACATGTGTTTCTACTAGGTTAGACTCATTGCAACTTTACGCTATTAGCTGAAAGTAAAACTGCCAACAATATTTTTAGTACAACTTAAAAATTTTAGTATTTGCTTCTATCGTTGAGGTATGTCATGGGGCAAAACGTTCAATGCCACTGGCACGCAGAGCACCGCTATTTCTGCTCTGTGTGTACACTCGCTCGCCGCCTCTTCCCCAGGAAATCATTTACATTTTTCATATATCAGGAAATCATTGACTTGCTTAAGAAATACCCCAAGAGCACGCTGCGTGTACTCCGTAAATTCTCAAAAACACTTTTCTTGTTCTTTCGCAGAGCGAACGCTTGTTTTAGTAAGTAGGTGAGGGCTGCAGAAATCCACGCAGATTTTCAGGTTTTTTTTTCTTCCGCTCCGGGAAAACCCTTCAGTGTGGTTTTGCCATCTTGCAGCATTGGATCAGGTTTGGCCCCTCTCCCTCCCCCGACAGCTCTCCTGGCACCTTCCTCCATCAGAAGGACCAACCCTTGCCGTGACACGAAATCCTTAACAGCCTTTTAGGGCCACCGGGGACCGCGGGCCGGTACGGGGCAGAGCGGGCAGCCGGGACCTTTCCCGGCTACCGGGGGGAGCCCTCTCCGGGGGCACTGGAATACTGGGGGGTGCAAGCTAGGGAAGCCGGGAGCCGCCGCGGGGTATCGAGGGAGCCTTTTGGGGGTCCCGGGAGACCCCGTAGGAAAAGCTCCAGGGAGCCGGGAGCATCCGGTAAGCGGAACAGTGGAGCGGCGGAGCCGGGAGCCCTCCCGAGGTGCCGGGAGAGCGCCGGGCAGCGGCGGCTGCTGTGCGGGGGCAGCCCGCCGGGGGTCCCGCCGCTCGTCCAGGGGTCGGAGGTCCCTCCCGGGGTGCCCCTCTGCCCCCGATGCCCACCCACCTGTGTACCGGATGTGGGTCCACGGCACTTCGTCGTTCCGAGGCTGAAAAAAAAGAAGAGAAATCCGCTTTAACGCACTGGGCGGGCCCCTCGCTGCCGCCGCTATCGCTTTCGTTTCCCCGCCGGGACGGGGACCGGCACCGGGACCGGGACCGCGCCCCCACAGGCAGCCTCCGCTGGCGCGGCTGCTGTTAGCCAGCTGTGCTCTTTACTTGCTTTTATATCGGTATTATGAAATACGATTTTAGAGGGTTTCCTAAGCCAGCCCGACTTCCAGCCCGGCGCTGAGCCCTCCGGAGCACAGCAGGTAGTGTTGGTCCTGTTTCAAAAAACATCCTGGTGAACGGAATAGAGTCGGACCAAACAGTAAGGAGGGACCTTGGGGGTGCAGAGTCTCTTCTGCATGACCCCCTCGAGCCTGATTTACAGGCAGGCGTTCCTTTTTGCAGCGCTGGTACCCAGAGGTGTCCGCTCCTCCTGCAGGGCGCTAAGAGGTGGATCCGGCTTTATGGTACCGTGGACTTTGGGGTCAGGCTGTTACTGGATGCGTGTTTCTCGGTGGTTCCCTTAGAACTACATTGAGACACGTTTAAAATTGATGGAGTGTAAAAGAAAAAGTGAATGAAAATTCAGAAGTCTCGAGCCTGATTTACAGGCAGGCGTTCCTTTTTGCAGAGCTGGGACCCAGAGGTGTCCGCTCCTCCTGCAGGGCGCTAAGAGGTGGATCCGGCTTTATGGTACCGTGGACTTTGGGGTCAGGCTGTTACTGGATGCGTGTTTCTCGGTGGTTCCCTTAGAACTACATTGAGACACGTTTAAAATTGATGGAGTGTAAAAGAAAAAGTGAATGAAAATTCAGAAGTGTGTATCTTACTGTGATCGGATACACAGAACGCCAGACTTCTGTATTACATTTTTAAATCTGAACTTTGCATCTCAAACCCATCTCTCATCTTAACCACAGGAGGCCCAAATCTGCAGTCTCTTCACAACCACAAGTCTTCAGCATCTTGCCTGATTAGAGAGTGAAAGGTTAGGCTCACTGCTCCATGTTCTTCTCGTTACCTGTGCTGTAGGATTCATAAAGGACAAGGTGGGCTGGTGGTATGTGTGCTGGGCTGACTCTCCTGTACTTGGCTGCATGCGTAACAGGAACAGAGCAGCACACTCGCTCCGAGAACAGGGACCGTGTTGGAAAGGAGAAGAGAGTGAGCACTGACATGCAAATCTGCAGGTTGAGTGCTGCACCCTGGTAAAGGCAAGCGGCAGGGGAAGGAGGTGGGAGCTGGTGCGGGCTGTGCTCCCGGAGGATGGGGTGGGTGCTGACAGTGGGAAAGGTCTGCTCTGGCACCCTCTAGTGCTGTCACAGCTGATGCTCTGCCGCTTCCCACTGCCAAGGCTGGATATGACTACCAAATAACAAGCTTTTATTGCACGTTGGCTCTGGTAGAACTGTCTCTCCTCACGTTACTGGTTCTATGCATTGCCTCGGCAGCTTGAGTATTACGCTTAGTCTTTTTTCTAGACACCTAAGTGCATGAGCATTTCACTCTTTGGCCCAGGCAGCTGGGATTTCCAGGTAGTTTCCCAAGAAGGCGATAGCCAAGCACAGCACTGCTGAGTTTCTGAGGTCAAACAACATCTACCACAATCTGCCCGATCTGGCCACTGGTGGACCAGGGTGTATTAAACGCAGTCAGCCTGGGTGACAGTCTTGTAGCAAACGTAAGAATACCAGCCCCGTTGTCACTAATGCACATTACCTGTTTTGCATATCTCTGCTAAGCGTTGCATGATCTCAAAGCACTTTGCTTAGTAAATTCTGCTGAGGGGAGAACGTATCTGTAGGACTGGATGGATGTCTGCAAGTTGTAACATAGTCCCCTCTTTCTCTGTTCTGCCTTCTTATGGTGTGTGGGAAAGGCTGCTGGGAGGGCTGGGGGGACAGATGTCCCCCTTACTGACTGCTTCTATTTCCCTGTATCATTTACACACAGAGTTTCCACATAATTTTTGCCTGTTCTGGACCCCCAAACATGAGATTTCCTTTTATCTGGGACATGGTGTCTGGAGCTGTGCCACGTGACAGAAATTTGATGAATAGGTTCATACTGCACAAAGCACAAATCTCAGGGGACTGTAGCAATACGATTGAGAGGACTGCGATCACGTGCCTGACTCCCTGTGTCATACAGATTGCAGACAGCTGTGCAGTGGAAGTGGGTTGTACCTTCTCTACACCAGGAGATATTAGGGTTATGGCCATATCTTCCTTATCTACATTAAACCTCTGCACAATTACTCCTCCTACAACTTTCCCTGCCACCCTGTTCAGGCAAAACCATTGTGCAACAGATCATTAGAAGTCTGAATTTCCAACAGCTGCTCAAGTCTTTTACCTCCTATGCATTTGCCGTTGAGGGGTTTCACACCCCGTGATTACACCTGTGAGTGGCTTGCCCATGCCCTGATCCCAGCTGGTTGGGCAAGAGGAGGTAATTCCAGCAGAGATGGGAACTCACAAGCTTTGCAGATGCGAAAGCAGACTATCACTACCTTTTTTTTTTTAACTTGCTCGTTTGAAAATCACAGCTGAGGCTTGCTCTCCAGGCAGCATCGTGACAGAACCCAGATCACAGTCCTTTTTTTGTTAAGCACAATCTGGGCTGCAGATGCTGACTTTTCTGAGTGTGTGCCATGATAGTATTTGTGCTGTGTTTCACAGAACAGTCCAGGGTGGGTTTTTTTCAGGAGCCATGAGGACAATGGAAAGTAATCAAATATGGTCTTGCTACGAAAAAACACAGCTACTGTCTTGCTTCTAAAGTTAGTGTGGCACTCTCCAGCCCTGGAAAGCAGAAGTAGACTCTTCCCAAGAACAGGGACAGCTGCTGGTTGCTCTCATGGACCAGCACTCCCAACCTGCCATTCTGATGCTGCTGTGCCCTTACTTTGATAAAGTCTGTCTCCCTGAACTGCCTCAAGAGTCAAATCAGATTGGTACTGCTGCCTCTTTGATAGATATTTATATGGTCAGCTCTTGGTTATCCTACTAATCCCTGTAATTCCAGTGCAATGAAAGGCCACTGTGTACAGCCTGCGAGACCATTCCTGCACAGCATGGTGCAGTCAAAACAAGACACCATGGTTATCTACTTAAGATAATAGAAACCAGTTCTATGCCTGCAATTAGCAAGTGTTTAAAACTGAAAAGGTTCTCTGGTGACTCCCGGGGCTTGGGCTTATCACTGCTCCTCGAGCACCCTGTTTCAGTTGTTTCTGTTGAGGAGGGAAACTCCAGACGCGTACTGTGTCCCCTCCTCAGCTGCTGCTCTCTTGGGTTTGTAAGGCTCACAGGCAGCAATGCCAGCCCTGCCATCTTCCTCTGGAGGAGGAGGAGGATTTGAGTTAATATTTTTACAGAAGAGAGAGATACTTAGTGATGAGGAATCACAACCACAGTGTGACCCAGGAGAGGTTTCTGCACCTTGAGCAGCGTCATAGCTTGCCCTTCTCTGTTGGCTTACACTGCAACTTCTCTCTCCCAAAGTAGTGGAAGGAGAACTGAACTGAATGAAAAGTTTTTTCTTTCAGTGTTATCAGGGTCGTAATTCTACAGTTTAATAACCTCTGTGAGACTCAGGTCAGTGAAAGTTGTGTGGAGCATGAGGGTTTTCATTAAACAGCAGAGGACCCAGAGCACGAGGCCATCCCTCCCTTGCATGGTGACATGCCTGGGCTGGCTTCTCTACCAAGTCTAAGTGAGAGGAAAGAATGAACTCTGATAAGATGAAGCACAACAAGCTTTAAAGTGGTACATAGCTCCTGGAGAAGATGTGGGAGGAGAAGTAGCTAGTGCATAAGCATAGCGGTGAAAGGTTGTTGACAATCCACCAGCCTGCAAAGACATGAAAGTGGCAAATGTATTTGCTGCAATTTTTGCTAAGGTATTCTAAGTTTCAACCATCTCTGTTATTTATATTGTTTGCAGTGGTGTTATATGTACATGAAACTCTCTCTGGCCAAATCAGTCTTTCTCTCTTTCATGTACATGCGCACGGAGGCTGTCCTCTGCAGATATAGATGACTACTCCTAAAGCCCAATATATGTGCAGGCTGAGAGTGCTGAAATGTTTCAGGTGTCTTGCTAGAGATGTGACAAGCTAGCTTGCTCTGTCACATATCTGTCTGTACATATAGTAAATTTTAAAAGTTCAGGAGGTGTTTATGAGCAACCTTGATCACTTGTCGAAAGCAAATATCTACCCAGATGCTCCCATTTAATTAAATGGAAATAACCATGAGTCACTGCAAGTAGGGGAAAGAGCAGGAGGGAGCAGGAAAGAGGCAGACCTCCGCTGGCTGGTGCAAAGAGCATTCTTGGAATGATCCCCTTCCAGACAACCTGTCCCTAAACCCTGCACTGGACAACACTGGATGTTGTTTTGAGGACAGGCAATGTAAAAAAAAAAAAAAAAGAATTACAATCATTAAGGAAAAGATTAAAAACTTGGGGTTTGAATAGGGATAAACCTAACTGCTCTTTTTCTTTTCCCAAAAAAACCCTAATAAAGCCCATACAAAGCTTTACAGGGCAGCAGACAATGGGTTGAACACGAGCTCTTACCGTTGAGGGTTGCAGAGACTCTATACCAAGGTAAATCAAGCAGGCAAGCAGTAATATCCACTGAGCAGCCGCAGACACGAGGTGCAGTGTGTTCCTAACCTGTCCTCTTTGCCAGCTCTTCCACTCATCCTCTGCAGGTTCCCTTTCAGGATCCATCTGGTCTTGGTTTCTCGGCTCAGCATCTATCTGTCCTTCCATCTCAGCTGTACTGCCAGCAACTGCTGGGAAAGGGGCCAGGAGCACAGCAGGAGCCTGGAGGAGCAGGGAGCAGATGTGCTAGGTGCTCTTGACCCAGGAGCAGAGATGAAGTGAAGACAGTGCCTTCGGGAGACTGCTTTATGCACACAGAAGCAGGCGGGGAACTTCTTTGTGACTAATCTGAACTAATCTGAATTTCCCCTTCCTTCCTTTCTTTCTTTCTTTTCTTTTTTTCTTTTTTTTTTTTTTTTTTTTTTTGTGTGGTTTTGGGGGTTTCTTTTTTTTTTTTTTTTTTTTTTTTTTTTTTTTTTTTTTTTTTTTTTGGTGTGTGAATGTGGGGGCTGATTTATTGCATCCCAGTTCAGTTTTGACTAAGGGCCTTTAGAAGTAGATGTGTTTATGTCTTTCATAGGTTGAGCTGTGGATGTTTCCAACAATAACTAAGAGTTGGGTGGACAGCACTTGCCTTCACTCATTCTTTGTCAGTAAAAGCTCTCAATTTTCTGTTCACCCTCAAGTGGGGGGTTTACGGAGCTGGCTCCCTCCCTTAACAGCAGCTTATAATGCTTCTGAAATCTCTTTTCTTTGAAGAAACAATGAGTAGGAAGGGATGTAGGACAGATGGACAGCATAAACAATTTCTCTCCAGAAAAATATGCACTTTCCATTTCTCTTCACCTTTGTCTTCTGGCTTTAAAGCCATGGGATGCTGCATGAAGCCTAAGAGGGAGAAAATAGAGAACTGCGTGCATCCCTTTTTGCACACACTGAATCCCACAGCCCAGGGAATGCAGTCAGAGGGCCACCTCTGGTCCATCCCAGGTTTTCTCCTGGAAGCAAATTGCCTGGCCCTTAGGACACCAGCACGTCCCCTTCACTTGGTCTTCTTGTGACATTTGCTTGTGATGCATGGAGCTGTTAAATGTCAGTTGTCTGCAGCAGGGACCATCTTGTGTGCTTCTTTTGAGTGACAGGCTTTTGCATCCTTTTTGGGGGCAGTCCAACGCCCCTCTTTCCACTGCTCTTCTAGCCAGAATTATTTCTGTTGTAAATTAGCACATCATGAAGTCAGGTACTGCCTTCTCCCAGATCGAGTCCGTTGGGAGCATTATCGTCTGTCTGTCTTTCAGGGATGAGTTGTCAGAAGTTTCCCTTCCCCAAAATGTGCTCTCTTAACCTGTCACAAGGCACATGTCCTGACAAACATGTCCTCTGCGTGCAGAGGAAGCAAGGGTAATGTTCTTTTGTGTTTTTTTTGCATCTAGGGAAGAATATTTCCTATAAATATAAACCAAGCGAAGGGGGAAGTACAGCAGCTGGGTATCAACCTGCTGTGAGGACACCCCAGCCCTTTCCACCTTTGTTCTTGAAAAATAACCTTGAGTTGCCAGTAGCTGGTGGATTGAGTCAGGAAACTTACTGAAGAATGTTCAGCTTTCACAATTTCCATTTGTTCTTGAGTGGTGGAAATTCTTATCCTCCTTCCACTGGCAGCCCCTCTCCAGAGCGCACTTGGGGCTGATGAGAGGCCCTGGGAACAACCCTAACCTTCCTTCCTTGTCCAGAAATATGACCGATGCCGCAGTAAGGAGAGTTCGTGCTGCCTCTGAGCGGTTCCCTCTGATTCACAGTGTGAGTTTGGAGGCAGGACTTTGACACCTAGCGGTCATACAGCGCCTGGGAGCCTGGGCTGCCCCGCACCAAGCTCAGCATCTGGGCTCGGGCTTAGCCAAGCCCCACAGAGGAGTGAAGTGATGCCGTGGGGTGCTGGGGAGGCCTGCTGAGGCTGGGGGGGATGTGGAGAAGGAGGATGTTTGCTCCCATGGATCTGCATGTCCTGACATGTCTAGGTTCTTCCTTAAAAGGTCCCCAGAAACACGTGTACCCTACTTGCAGCCCTGGTATCCATCCATAAGGGGCTTGGTGGAGTGAGGGAGCCCGGGGAGACTCTGGAGATCACAGAATCACAGAATGATCTGGGGTTGGAAGGGACCTCTAGAGATCATCTAGTCCAACCCCCCTGCCAAACCAGGTCCACCCAGAGCAGGTTGCACAGGAACATGTCCAGGTGGGTTTTGAATGTCTCCAGAGACGGCAACTCCACCACCTCTCTGGACAGCCTGTTCCAGGGCTCTGCCACTCTCAAACTAAAGAAGTTCCTCCTCGTGTTTGATGAGGGAATCTCACATGTGGTGTCAGAACAGCTTCCTGGGTGGGGAACAAATCCAGCTCTGTGTCCTTCCCCTCTGGGCAGAGGTCTCAGCTACCTGCAGTGCAGATGGGTGCTGGTGGTGGCTGGGAAGTTGGGACCCAGCTGTCCTGGTCCCACAGGAAAGGCGAAACAGGCTTGAGCGGGCTGTGCAGACTGTGCAACGCCTGAACAAGTGCCTCCTTGTGCTTAGAGGTCCCTGCTGTGGGGATGTCTCAGGGGCAGCGTCCCCAGACCCCTGTAGCTTGCAGTGCCCCATGGCTGAAGCTGCAGCTGCAGCTGCAGGCATGGAGGAAGGCTGTGGGGCCAGGGCTGCCCGGGACCTGTGCTTCTACCTGTAGCGAGTGAGTGAGGACAGAGGCAGCTAGCTGCAGGCCTTGCACAGCCCAGCAGTGACCTTGTCAGCGTTTCAGTGGGGAATCACAGAAGGAGTGCACGCAGTCATGATGCCACGGCTGCCTTCCTGGAAGAGCAGGCATCGCTGCACATCAGAGCAGCTCTGTTGAGCGCAGACTGTTACGCCTTGGGCTCTCCCCCACTGTTCCTTCCAGGAAAGGAGGCTTGGTTTTGCTCCTTGCTGCTTAGATTCTGCAAAAATGCCAGGATGCTGAGCTAGGTTGTTCCAAACTTTTGTGATCCCATAATTCTCACATTTTGGGTACATGCCTTTGAACCCGACAAGAGCTCTCACCCGTTTTCGTCTCCTCCCTTCCCGATTCTGGATCTTGCACTCGTTTTGTTTCTAATACCCTAAAAAAAAAAAAATGTGGGTGGAGGTTTGTGTATTTCTGAAATTGCCTCCTCATTTCTGTGCTCCCCCAGTGCAAGTGTCGCTCAGCCTGAGTTAACGAGACTGGTAGCTCTGAGGATCGAAAGCTACATGTCAAGTTATGTATCTGGCATTGTGTCCGAAACAGGAAAGAGGACAGCTCATTCAGAGGCATCGTACACCCCTATGCCCAGACTGTCTTTTGCGGTTTTAATCGCCTTCAGTTTGTCCTCCTGCCTTGTGTATGAAAACCCAAGTGCATGCAGATTCGGTGGCTTGGGACATGTGCTGTCAGAGCCTCTGCTGACCTTCACCATCCCGGTGCATTGCAGGCTTACTGCACACACCCAACAATTGCCAAAATTTGCTGCATTGATCAAAATTATTTCTGTCCCTCTTCCACAGGGACCCTAAAGCTGGAGCCTCTTGGGGTTTTTCTCAACCCTTTCCAGTCATCGTGCCATTCTGGTGATGGGGCGAGCAGGCAGGAGGCTTTGGGGCTCTATGAGCCTGTTGGCACTCTGCTGCAGACCCTGGTTATTTGGTCATCTCAGTAATTTCCCAAAGAAATGCCTCTTGATGGCAAATGCACCAACGTTATTCCGCAAGGACTGAAGGAAACTGAGTTGGTTGGCAGTATGGCTTGCTGGGTTTGAGAGGTTTTTTTACAACAAACTAAGACCTCTTATTAGGCTGCCATTTCTGGGCTTTCCCAGACCCAGGGAGCTGAGGGCTTTAAAACCTTGGCTAAAGCATGTTGGTCACAGTCAAGGCTAAATCCTACAGTGTCGTCGCTGTACGAGGTCTCAGATGCAGCTTGGAGCCCCAGCCATGAGGCTGCTGTGCTCCAACCAGCAGGACAGGGCAAAGAGCATCCTCACTGCAGACCACAGCCCCTGGCCCACACGGAGCACCCAGTGTGTGGAGTCACAGGACAGGGGCCCTTGCCCAAGGCCTGGCAGCTCTTGATGGCACGCTCCTTGATTTAGTTCCCATTTCCCAAGAAAATGCTCTCACCACCCCAAAATTGGAGAATTATATAGGAGAGTTTGACTTCTCAGAAAAACAGTGAAACAACCAATAGAACTGTTTGTAAACATTGAGAAGGAAAAAGGAAATGAGCAGCAACCAGTGTGGGTTTCCAAGAACACAACCTAATATTGTCTTGTGGGGCAAGGAAGCCTCTTGGGCAGAGGAGTAGCTGTGAGTATTCACTCTGCATTCAGTAGTAGTTTTGACTATCTTTTTCATAATATTCATGAAGCATGGTCTGTATGAAACTGCTGCTCAGTAGAAGCGGAGCTGGTTGAGTGATTATTGATGGTTTGTTGTCAAAATGGAAGGACACACCTTGTACTCCTGGGACCTGCCCTTCTGCAATGTGCCCTTCACTTAAGGGATCTTCTGGGCCCTCTGGCAAGCCATGCAGGATGGGCACACTCTCACAGGTGAGATCTGGCTTCTTGGCTCTTACTGGTAGTCTTTGCCTATAATCTAAAGGTTTGGCCTCCAATTGGAATAAAATATTAGGAGAAAAGTGCTGTTGCTCTCATTGCTGCCATCAAGTAACACAACTGATGTCTGGTGTTGGGCTTTTTTCTTGGGTGTGGTTGCTTATTTTCTGCCAAGGCTGTCTTTGCCTTGAGAATTACTGGTCATGTGGTTTGATTTAGTAAAACAGTGGGAAATAGCAAAGGAAGCCCTGCAGTTTTATAGGAGCAGGGGGAAATCAGAGTGTTCCAAAATCAAGATTTTAATCCAGGTCCTGCTGCTCAGAATGTGCCCCAGCTATTGCTATTTAATGTTTCTGTCCACTCCAGAAATAAAGTATTTTCTACCTAAGGCAGATTTGTTTGCCAAACACAAGGAATTTTGCCTAAAAAGTCTGGGGACTCCAGTGTCTCTGAACCATGTGAACTATCTCTTACCCTGGATTTCACTTCCATATGGCTTTTTCTTGCTCCTTGCTTATAGCCACTCTTTGGCCGATGTGTGCACCAGGGATTTCTGCTGGCAGAGGCA